GAGAGAGAGAGAGAGAGAGAGAGAGAGAGAGAGAGAGAGAGAGAGAGAGAGAGAGAGAGAGAGACCCCCCCTAATCCTAATAAAGCCTTATCCTTACTTGTCCTATCGTCCCCCGTTCAAGATATGATCGAGTACATCACCAAGTGGAGAAAAGACTGAACAGCACAAGCTAGCCTACAACATACACATGTGGGAAGCTAAGGAAGCAACTAGGAAGGACCGACACATCACCAAGTAAGGGAAAGACTGAACAGCACAAGTGTGACTACATTATACATATGTGGGAAGCTACGGAGGCAACTAGGAAGAACCGACACATCACCAAGTGGAGAAAAAACTGAGCTTCACAGGGTAGACTACAACATACACAGGTGGGAAGCTATGGAGGCAACTAGGAAGAACCGGCACATCACCAAGGAAGGGAAAAACTGAACAGCACAAGTGAGACTACAGCATATACATGTGGGAAGGTATGGAAACAATTGGGGAGAACCAGCACATCACCAAGTGGAGAAAAGACTGAACAGCACAAGCCAGACGACAACATACACATGTTTGAAGCTATGGAAACAACAGGGAAAAACCGGCAGGCACATCACCAGGTGGAGAAAAGAGTGAACAACACAAGCTAGGTTACAGCATACACATGTGGGAAGCTATGGAAGCAACTAGGAAGAACCGACACATCACTAAGTAAGGGAAAGACTGAACAGCACAAGTGTGACTACAACATACATATGTGGGAAGCTATGGAAGCAACTAGGAAGCACTGGCGCATCACCAAGTAAGGGAAAGACTGAACAACACAAGTGTGACTACAACATACATATGTGGGAAGCTATGGAAGCAACTAGGGAGAGTTGGCACATCACCAAGTGGAGAAAAGATTGAACTTCACACGCTAGTCTACAACATACACATGTGGGAAGCTACAAAAGCAAATAAGAAGAACCGACACATCACCAAGTGGAGAAAAGACTGAACTTGCACCAATGAGAGTACAATACATACACATGTGAGCCATTGAACAACTAGGAAGGAACCGACACATCACCAAGTGAGGAAAGACTGAACTTGCACCAATGAGACTACAGCATACACACACATGAGCTATGGAGTAACTAGGAAGGAAACCAACAAATCACCAAGTGGAAGAAAGACTGAACTTGCACCAATGAGACTACAACATACACACATGTGAGCTATGGAGCAACAGG